ATCTTCCCTAGGGATATCCGGAGTTTCCTTTAATCGATCATACACATAATTTTCTTCTTCTGAAGATAAATATCTTTTAATTTTTTTACACAAATCACTAATCACCCTATCCTTTTCCCATCATAAAATTTCTTTTATCAATTCATTCACAATACTTTCATTTTTCTCTTCAATTAATATAAACTCATATTCAAGATCTTGCATAATAAAATCAATTTTATTTTCAGCCAGAAGTTTTTCTTGTAAATTTTTGAATAATTCATCTCTGATCACAAAATGTTCTTGATTTTCGAAATCAAACATTTTTATGAATTCAAACCCATCACACCATATTTATACTTTTATTCTTAATTTTAATCAATTCTAAAAATATTATCTTTACAATTCACTTCTGAATATAAACTACGTAACTTTATAATTTTAGGTTCTGATATTGGATTTTCATCCAACCAATATAAAAAATCTCCTTCTAATTTCTTCAAAAAAAATTCCCTAGGTGTATTTGAAGTTTCCTTCAACCGATCATACACATAATCACTTTTTTCCAAAGATAAATATCTTTTGATTTTTTTACACAAACCATTAATCACCCTATCCTTTTCCCGTCATAAAATTCCTTTAAATATTTCATTTGCATAATACTTGTTTCTCTCTTCAACTGATACAAACATCTTATATTCATCCTCAAGAAAATATATGACAGATTCAGATTCATCCGCAGTCAAATATCATCCAAGTTTTTCTTGTAAATTTTTGAAAAATTCATCTCTAATCATACAGTGCTTTTGATTTTCGGGATCAAACATTTTTATTTAATTCAAACCCATTGTACCTATATTTATACTTTTCAAATAAATCTAAATTTTATAAAATTAAAAATCAAAACCTTTTCTTATGTCTCAGATATTTAAAACTTTTGAATTTGATAAATTTTTATACAAGTATACACATATTTATATATTTCAAAATATAATAAAATAAAATCATTCATCAATTATTAAACTATCAGGTGTTGACTCATCGATTCTCTTTCTCTTTGTTTCAAGCTCGTCAAGATCTTCTATCTCTCGATCTTGTTTCTTTGTATGCTGTTCTTTCAACCTCTCATATTCATCACTCGTTCAATACTTGTTATACACCAACAACAAATTATCAATAATCTCATAATACCCACCAATAATATTCAATACATTAATCTTCACCTTCAAATATATGTTACCTTCCTTCTCATATAAATCAGATATCTGATCATCATACACATATTGCCCTGCATCTTTCAATGAAATATCTTCAAAAAACTTGACATCAAATCTCTTACTAACAAATTCATTCACATCTCCATTTTCAAATATCCATTCGATACGTCCCTCAAAATAATTTCCCTTCAAATTAATCACATAACTATGTGAATAATTAGCTGATCTATCAAATCTTCGATACAATGCCTTTCGATGTCTCGGATTCTTCTTTTCCTTTTCATTGAACTCATACGTTCCTCCAAATTCATAGATATCATCAAATGAAAGATTAGATATCAATATGTTGAACTTGGATACTACGTTTACCAGTGACTTGAATTTCCTAGAAATCATCACTATATCCTCCTCGCAAATATTCAAGAGATCCTCATATCTCACAGAATTATAACTAAACTCCTCCTTAACAATGCACGATTGATTTTCATATTCATTAAAATATTTAATATCTTTTGCCTTAAAACATACGTCTCCTTCACCTGATAACAAACCAACAAATTTGCGCGAAATCATTGTCTTTCCAGTATTCGAATCACTATAGAAAAAAAAATTGTGAGAAAAAAATCTCTTTTCTATAATCTGTTTGTCCATTTTCATATTTGCTATCTGTTCCATCTTTTCCAAAGCATTCATCACCCAAGTCATCACCGGAATTCTGTTATCAATATTATTAAAAATTTCTTTCCTAGCTGTTGATTCACCCAAATGAATTCTTATTTGAGATTCTGCAAGTATCATAAATTCAACTTCATTAAGATTTTCTTAACTCCTTTTCCATGTTCAACAGAGTACCTTATTCAACCCACCAAGTCTTGGGATCTGTGCTCCTATCATATCGAGCAAATGTGCAATACTGCACACAATTCTCATCACACTTTAAACAAAACTTGGATAAATCAAAATAATCACATTTACATTCATGACAATTACATGTTGATGTTCCATTTCTGTTCGGACAATTGGACTTATGCTTATGAAATTTGTATCTATTATAGATCTTCTTGCAATAATTAATACAATTTATCTTATTCTTGGCATTCACAAATCCCACGTGCATCAAATTAAACTTAAAAATTTCCTTGATTTCTTTTGCGATAGTTTTATCACAGGTTTTTTTTAACGGGTTTCCATTATCATCAACAATGACATCATCCTTTTTATATTTCTTCGAATTTCGCAATACCCTCTTCATGTACTCCTTACTCTGCTTTCTGTAATATCCAATCTCATATTGATCAATCAATTGAACATACCCCTGCGTGTGAAGACCTTCAAGCTTTATATTCTCAAATTGAAATATAATATACTGAACCTTGTCTTGATTATCTCAATAAACATTAACAATCTTTTGCTTATATGTATCAATAAACTCTTGTTTGGTTAAAGAAGGATCCTCTCCAGACATAAACAATGTAAAATTAAAATATCGATATCGATTTATCTTATATTTTTTAACTTTAGACATTTTACTTTTTAAAGAGTTAAATAAACATCAATTTTAGATATTTTAATTTATACATTTATTATAAAAATAAATATCGAATCAAAATCTTAAATTTCAAAATTACAAGATCTACATCTACATCTAATCATTAACCTCAAAATCTCAAATTAAACATCTAATCTAATCTTTATTAAAATTTCAAAATTACAAATCTATATACTCAAAACTTTTCTCCCACAAATCTATGTACACAAAACTTCTCTCCCACGAATCTATATACTCAAAACTTCCCTCTCACGAATCTATATACTCAAAACTTCCCTCTCACGAATCTATATACTCAAAACTTCCCTCCCACGAATCTATGTACTCAAAATTTTCCTCCCT